TACGTAACGGATGCAATAGCGGCCGCATAAAATAACCCGCGAAAATCGCCTGGATCGCCCATCCCATCGCGCTTTTTCTTCGCCGTGCAAACTTCTCCGCCTCCTCCGCGTTCCTCTCGTTTTCTGCCACGACTCGCCGACATCCACCGGCGTATAATCACCCTGAAAATACGATAAGCGCGAGAGGACGACGCGCGAGGCTAGACCACGCGATGATGATGAGGATGAGGATGATGATCGTATCCACGATAGACGACATTCATCGTGAAGCATTCGTTCTGTGAGATCGTCTCCGTTTCGAGATTCGTACGAGTTCGCTGACACTGTCGAGAAATAACTTGTATCTCCAATTTATCGTTACTTTTATACGGTTGATGACTTCTGTTTCTGTACGTTGTCATTGTTTTCCCTTGTGGAGGACGAGCGGTTTAAATATCCTGGACGGATTTTCCGTAGATTTATTCCCGCGGTAGGGTCGCAACACCTATCCATCGCGGAAAGGCAGAGGCTACGGCTGCTTCAGCTTAATGGGCTGTTTGCTTGCAAATTGCGGTATCGCTAAAGGGCAGCAAACAATTCACAACTCGTTTTAACTTCCACGTTTCAATTCCAAGACGCTTCGAGTCCCCCGGGCGGGCGTTACATTTACATAATTGTCTCCAGTTCTCTTTTCCCGTTCGCGGAAACCGTCGCCTGTTTTCCCCGCCGTGGCACGTTCGCATTTTTACGACGCGACGCCTTCGCGGTTGCCATCTTTGCGGGTGTTCCCGTCGAAAAGTATTGCGATTTTGAAGCTGGTCTAATTTTTAGAGTTTGGAGTATAGTTAATCGATACTCCTCCTTATGAGGCGATAAAAAATAATGATTGAAATATAATGTATAATTGCAAAAAGAAATTGCCCCGGGTGAGGATCGAACTCACGACCTTAAGATTATGAGACTTACGCGCTGCCTACTGCGCTACCGAGGCGATGTAAGCACTTTTCATATTCACTTATGAGAGTGGAATTTTGACGTCGATAGAAAATTTGTATGAAATAAAATTTCGTCCACCGTATTTCTTTGCAGTGTTTTGAACATTTGAATGATAATTATATCATAAATACAAAATGTTTATAAAACATATTTTATAAACTTGCCAAACCCTGCTGAAGATGTCGCCACGTTGCGGGAAGCGACTGAAGTTTGGTAGACTTCATCCCCTGAGCGTTGGTACTGTGCGTGAACTCCGATCGTTAAGGAAAACGACAAGTATAGTATAAATGTAAACTGTCAAACGTATTCATTGTGACGATTCCTGTTTTTCAAGGACCTATGAACCTGACCTCGTTATAAAAATAAAAATATCATGACAGACGCGGAAAGTTTAAAGGAAGCTATAGCGCAGTACGAACAACAGGTACGAAATGGTCCTTTTTACAAGGATTAACCTTTGTAAACGATCGCCTCGATTCACAGTTTATTTCTGTTTCATTTGAACGCTTGTCAGCTGGCACAGGTTCAGGCCACACTGTCATCGACGGCCGAAGGAACCGACCGGGAGAATTTATTAAGCTTACAGTCGGACATAGAAGAGTTAATTAATTTAACGAAGGAAAGTCTACAGAGCATCGAATCGGGTGACACGGGAAACGAGTCTTCGACAGAGATTTTAAGTGACGACGACAATGATCCACTGGCGAAGGAATACGCCTTGTTCAAGGTGATCCTTTTACACTTAGACTCGAACGAACGATACATTCTCTAAAACAGGAATTCTTATGTTCCCTTTTCATTGTAACTTCATCAGGCAGAACTGGAGAAAGTCTCAGATGACTCTGAGAGTAATAAGCAGAATGAACAAGCTGCTGGAACTTCAAACAATATAGAAGTCAGTATGCAAGTATTCTATACGGCATAGCAATGACACAATTATACGGTGCAAGTTCATCTTGTAGGAAGAATTGAAGCAGTTGGAGGGCATGAAATGTAGAGCCCCTTATGGTAGCAGTTGGGGAGGAATCGGTTATCATAATGCTATGATATGCTCAGTTTACGGGATCAACAATACAGAAATAAGAAACATGCAAGAATTGAAGGTAAGAGGACCAGTGTGTATGAAACTGTATTCCATCGTGTTATGATATTAATTTAAATGTGTCCTTCGAAGCAAATCCCTTAGAAACTTGGATGATCTTAGTTGTTCAATATTGTTTTACGTACATCTGCATGCTTAAGAGAATGTAACTATTGTTCAGGTCAGAGTATTCTTCCTAAATCCGACGCACAAAGAAAAGCTTCCATGTCCTTACTATTTGAATGGAAAGTGTAAGTTTTCTGACGAGGATTGCAGGTTTTCTCATGGTGAACTAGTGCTACTGTCTAGCATAAAGGAATATAGGTAAATCAGCCTTAAGATTTAGTGAAATATAAACATGAAGACATGAGTACATATGTCTGTGTATATATCGATAGGGAGCCTGATTTTCAAAGTATAAAAATGGGTAGCAGGGTATTAGCAAAACAAAAAAACCAACTATGGCACAGATGTGTCGTACTGAAAATGCCAGAAAAAGTTGGAGATGTTTTCAGAATTAAGTTTGAAGCAAGTGGTAACATTGCTGAGGTTTTCTTACAAGACATCTTGCCACTTGGTTAGTACTATACACCTAAATTTAATGTACTGCAGATTTTCATGCTATTTATTATCATAGATGACGCAGATTTAGAAATGTCAGATACATCTGAAGAGTCGGACAGTGAAAGTGACTCAACAGAATATCCTAAGGAAGTAGTAATTCACCAGTCTCTCCTTACAATGGATAATAATGCACCACTCGGAAATTGGGAAAAGCATACTCGCGGTATAGGTAGTAAGTTAATGGCTCAAATGGGATACATAGTGGGTTCTGGTCTTGGAAAACGATCGGACGGTCGGGTAGAACCAGTTGAAGCAACGGTATTACCAGTTGGTAAATCCTTAGGTATGGCTTTCTCTTCTGCATTATAGATATATTGACAGCTTCGAGTACATCATACTACAAATGTATCACTCTTTAGATTATTGCATGGAATTGCGAGAAAATGCAGGTGGAGACAAAAATTTATTCTCCGTTGAACGTAGAATGCGGAAGCAACAACAAAAGTTAGAGCAACAGAGGGAGAGGCAGTATCAAAGAGAAAAACAAAGAGAAGAGAATAATGTATTTAATTTTATAAATGCAACATTAGGTGATAAACGTACGTTAAAGAACGAATTCTTGTATCATTATATATGTATATAGCTTCCATGCTTTCATAAACATTTGAATTTATTTGCAGCTAAAAATCAACCCCAAACTAGTATCACAAAAAGTAAAAGTGATCTTAAAACAGAATCGAATCGACAATTAAATGTAGCCAGCCTCCAAATTGGAGAAAATATTTTAAGACTGGAAAGAGAATCATCCAAGTTAAAAGAATCGTTAGGAAGACATGCGAAAGGTAGCATTCAATACAATAATATTGTAATGAAGTATAATGAGAAGCAAAAAGAGCTCGTTGATTTAAGAGCATCAGAAAAGAATATTACTGCTGAGCAAAACCAGCGAAAGAATAGAGCTAAATTATCCATATTTTGATGTCGATGCATTTACTATTTTATGTTTCTAAAGGAAATGGAAATATACGTGAAATATCTACAAATATGTACATATAGAAATATAACGAATAAATCTTAAAATTGGAAACTACTTGTAACATTAATGTGTAGAAACCTTACTATTTCCTTTTACTACTTATTCGTTATCAACCATTTTATATATTTTTTAATGAATGCAAAGTGAAAGAGTAAATTAGTTCATAGTATTACCGTAGCACTGGCGCTGTGATTAGATCATCAAATATTTTTAGTGCACTGACAGTTCTGAAATTGTACACGAGTCGTCAAGTTGTGGTGTGAATTGTGAATGTCAATTTAATATGGCGACCTCCAGTGAGAAGTATGATTACATCAATGATTACTTTAATTTTTAATTATAAAGATAAATTCAAATTTTGTATATGTTATTTTAACTTGAATTTAAAATTATTTATAGGATCGAAAAATGTGAAGTATGTACTGCTGATACTGCAAAATACACGTGTCCGAAGTGCGAGGTTAGAACATGTTCTCTTAAATGTGTAAACATTCACAAGAAAGAATTGGAATGTGACGGTGTCAGAGATAAAACAAAGTTTGTACCATTAAAATCATTTACAGACTTGGATATTTTAAGTGGTAAATTATATATTGTATATCAATTATTATAAATTCCAGTTGACAAACATTCATTTTAAGCTTAATATTTGTTAATTTCTAGATTACAGACTTCTCGAGGAAGTTGGTAGATCAGTTGAACAACTAAAGAGAGATCCATATAAAAAATGCACACAACAAAACAATTTGCCGATGGTTAGTTACTTTAATTTATATTTATCACTTTAAGCATGAATTAATATAAATTTTATGATTGCAGCATTTATATAAACTTAGATCAGCTGCATTTAAAAGGAAGATTAATTTACAATTTATGCCACAACATTTTAGTAGACATAAAAATAATACAACATTTTTAAATTGGAAAACCAATGAACTATATTGGAGAATAGAATGGATTTTTCCTCAAGCAGAAAATACAAAATGGATAACAGAAAGGTATTTAATAACAATTAAAGTATTTATAGATTTATGCATTAAATAATGTATGTGCTGTATTATTTTTTATGTACAAGATGATTATAATTGTAGGGTTTTAGAAGATACAAGATTATCAACCATCATAGAGGACATTTTGGATCCCATCAAATCATTAGAAAATAAAGGTGATATTGAAGAGTTAAATTTAAAAATGTGTTTGAAAGATAGATTACAATTTTATCAAGCAGCCAGTTTATCTGGAATAAAAGTCCTTTTAAAAGCCGAAAAAGTAGTAAAGTCAGATTCAAAGTAAGAATATTTCATTTTACTTTATTCAGTCGAACATATATTACAAGATACTTAATAGCACATAACTATCCATCAGGTTTCACGAATTGGATGTTACTCTTTCATTGAAAGAAAATTTAGAGAATAAAACTCTAATAGAATTTCCAACTGTATATGTAATCTTGAAAGATCATTCTGATTTGTATGAAATAATTGACAGTGGTGGGTTATCTATTTTTCTTTTTTACTATAATCAATATCGACATTAATTTATAAAATAACTAATCGAATAACATTTTAGATGATGAACATATGGAAGATTCCATACATAAAAAGAATAACAAAAACACGTCGCGGAGCAAAACACAAATGTACAAACAAATGCATAAAAAACTAAAAAATAATTCGAAGGTAAATTATTTTTTTAACTCTGAATATTCAGAGTCTGAAGAAGAAGGAGGTAATGGTGATCGTGAAAATGAAGTATCACGTGTAAAAACTTTTAACATTCCTAATTATAACGAATTAGTAAAAATGGAACAGTAATGTGATTTGTATATATCTAAAAATATGTAAGTATATAAGATTTTTATTCTTCTTGATTTAAACGAGTGAACTTATTGTACATTTATTATAAATTCAATTTTTTTATTATTGTAAATACAATACCTCAATAGACCAATACAATTGAGTGATATAAAATAACATTAATAATAACATATAATTATTTGTAATGCATTTCATTGGTTCCCTTTCCAAAAACATAAATATGATTGTTCACAGTTCAAAGAATACTAAAACCACAAAAATAAATATAATTTAATACATTCGTTTTACTTACACTGCATGAAAGATATTATAAATGATGCAATCCAATACGAAGGTACACATAGAAATAGTGCTAATACAGCCTCAAAGAGGAATAAAACAGTGATACTAATTTTCACTGTTTCTGAATGAACTAATAAAACTGATTTGAAGTTTCATTTAATATAAATACGGCTGTACATATTGTCTTTTACTTATTATAAAATTATCAGCGTTGTTTTTGTTTAATTGAAACAGTGATGGTTGTACATTATGTTACTCATGTAAAATAATTACATACTATACTTATTGCATGGCAATACATACATATGATAGAATATTTTGAAATTGGTATCAATGTCACCTTATTCGTTACAACAAGTTTTTTTGGAATATAACTTATGTACATTTCCTTCAATCCCATTTAGAGTCAAAACATAAACATACCATGCACTTGTAGAAAAAAATAATGTAAATACCAATCTTGAAGAAAACCAGATTGAGTAAAAACTTCCATGGTCTTTGCACAGTGATAACAAATAAAACAGTAATTTGAACTAAAGAACAAAGAAATACAACAGGAAGACCAAGAATGCAACCAATCCAGCCACGGCCTTCACATACATTGACTTGCTATTTAAGTGAGTTGCATCTTTTTTGTATTTCTGCGATAACATGGACAAATTTTGTGTTTTTGTATCTAACTCTGGAAAATCATAGAGTTTTAAGTTAATACAAAGTTACTTTGAATAACAACTATTCTTTTATAACTTAGATTAGATCATTACCTGAGAGAACAGTACCCCTCTGTAAGACATCATCTATATTCTGAACCATGATTCTTTGCACATCCTGTAATTGGCTATTCAGAGCATTCATGTTCCTTCTTGACCTACCATCCAAGAAAACTTTCTTTGCTTTCTGAATATAAGTATCTGAGAAAGTAAATATATTAATAATATTGTTACATATTATGCTTAAAATCTCTACTACACAAAGTACATACTAAATTCGATAAAACTATAAGGCCTGGTAACTGTGTTGACCCTTCTACCATACAAAGAATGAAATTCTTGTGCAATATCTTCAAGGTAACTGTATGCTACGCGTTTACTATAATTCTTTTCACATAGTACCAAGTAACATACTTCATTTTCAATCAGGTAACTGTAAATTTAAATAGATAATTTTGTAATACTTTCAATTTAAATAGATAAAATTGTGATATTAAGCAGTTGAATATAATTTTCTAACAATTATGATAAGAAAACTTACTGAAATAAATATGGGCCTGTTTCTATAGTACATCTAGCCGGAGACTGAGGGCCCAATTTTCTAAATAACATTTTTGCCTGATTCTGATAGTCTAAGATACTTCTTCCACTCTGTAAGTAATTTATAAAAATATCTGTCATCGTTCAGTGAAGTTGTATAATGCATAATAATATAATATTTCTGCGCCAATGGAATGTTGTACTCGCTTATGTTTAAGTTACGTATAAATATTATCATAAAAAATGTCGTGAAATTTGATAAAAAAATTTTTGACGTTTCATCATAACAGATTTCTAACCTGTTCGTCTTCCTGCATGGTCGCCGCAAGTGGCAAACCATCCGCTATCCTCGCAATCATTGTCAGCAACACCATTTTCCCGAAAATTCAATGAATTCGCTAACGGTGAATATCGAAAAATTTGTTTAAAAACCCCGTGAAACAGTCGAAACTTCACCACCTGAAATCCATTTACGCGGAACTGGCCACGGTGTGGCCGATTCGTTAAATATCCACTCTTGGTATACCACGTCAGCCGGTGTGAAGTCTTCGAAGCTCAAATAATCATGTAATAATTTCTCGCCTTCGCATGTCCGCAAATTTTGCAAACGCATATGAATAATCGCGTTATCGTCTGAAAGTGTTATAAATATAATAAACTTTTATACATTTGCGATAAAAGGGAAAACAAAAAAAGACTATCTTTCAGACATTACCGTTTCTATGTTATCGCTGTTCAAGATAGAATCTTTTTGTTGCACTTTCACTTCTGAAATATTCATTCAAATATTATTTTAATTCTATTAATATATTAATCACTAGAAATTAATATAGTCCTGCCGTTTTTAGATATATTTTTTCCAAATTTAATTGAAATTTCGAATAATACAGTAATGCCATCTGACGATACTTCGTCGTATATCTCTTTGACGTTTGAGATCAACACGTCCGCGCTGTGCGCGTCTATGGTTCTGCTCGCGTGGAAAGTGAAGGAGAAAAATTTCGTGACGTGCTTAACCCACACCTTTCCCTCGTAGTATCCGTAAAATGCCTGGGTTTCTGTGATTTTCCATTTCAGTCCCGTAAACGATTGATTCACGAGTATAAGGGATCGAAAAATTGTCTAGGCAACGGCTCGAATGTTCTTTGGAAGAAAATAATGCTTGTGCTCGCGTATGGACACCAGTGCCAGATACGATAGCTAGGTGAGTGAACGTACAAGAGGTCCCTGAACGCTAACTTGGCTATCACAGCTGGTATCTTGACTTTTTATCCTGAGGATTCCAATTTTTCGTATCGCAGCCTTCTTCTTACCCGGCAGCTTTGCCTCAGCGTAGGAAAAGTGCTTCCTCATGATTTTCGTTACATAATTAAACTAATTTTCGAGTTTCCTCGCGCGAAAGCGCAAGGAATTTTGTCTCCCAAACCAACCTCTAGCTGGCTTTAACGGATTTCAAATTTTGATTTTCTCGCTTGTTGACTTCTCGACGTATCTCTGTTTCGCTTATCATATCGTTGCACGGTTGTATGTGGCATAACGTGCTCGCGGGAAGGGTTATTAGAATAATGTAAAATAAGCACCCAATGACCTATATATATACGTATACACACACACACACACACACACACACACATATGTTGCCATTTATATGTGAAAGTGGATTTCCCTCCATTCGGATAATTATAATGTTTTTCAATATTTACTAGAAACGTATGTTTTATGGCATTGTTGATATGATAACTGTAATGAGAATATATACTTTCACTTATAATTTATTGTGATGCTTATAAGTTTGCGAGGTAGCTTTCTCAAATATATTAATTTGAAAGTAATGACATTGTTTTTATACATATACTTTCTATCAACTTAATATGGTATGAAAAATGGCTTTTAATTTGCAGGTTTTACTATAAATAAGAAATAGGTGGTACTGTCCTAAAGGCAGTATGAGTGTAAGTAGAATGTGACCTTAACATATCATTTACATAGATATGAATTTGAGTAATATATTATTATTTAAAATACATTTTCAGAATCCTTATAGAGCCAGACCAGCAAGGTCTAAAGCAGGATATGGAGCTCATAATCAAACAATATGGAATCCTATGATGAGACAACAGACAGATACACCATCAAATGATTCTATGCAACATCAATCAGCGGTTGTGAATCAGTCAAAACAAGCAGCTGATTCTTGGAATAATTCATGGAATTGGGACTTTGATAAACAGACAGATAATCAACAGCAACAACAACAACAACAACAACAGCAGCAGCAGCAGCAGCAGCAGCAACAACAGCAACAACAAACATCTCAACAAGAACAACAACAACAGCATTATGTGCCACCATATAAAAATCAAGGACAACTGATGTCCAATTCTATCCAGGATCATTATTATAAAAATGTTAACGGTAACAAGACTGATTTGATTAATCAGAATACTATGTCAGATGGAAATACACATGGAACTGCTAGTAACAGGCAGCCAATTTCAAATCATTCGGATTCTTTTCCACCTTACTCGAATTATGTCCCATACCAGCAATATCCACCACCACCACCGCCACCTAGACCGAGTTCTATTAAGTCTGGATCTTTGGATTATGATCATACACAATGGACAAATGAGCAACAACCTCAAACTGGTTCATATCAGCAACAAAGGTCCACTATACAAAATCAGAAGATTCAAGCAACAAATCCTCTTTTACCTAGTAGTAATTACGTTTGGCAGAAGTCCGAACAAACAAATTTAATGCCTTCAAATAATTGGCAGAGCAATGTATCCAATCGTTGGCAAGATCCAGAAATGGATAAGGAGGTACAAAATTTTGATGATATGGGTAACCAGTGCACACCGCCGTTACAGCCAAGTAGATCGAATCAGCTTCCTCTGCCATCCACAGAAAATATAAAAAAAGAACATTCCACAAACGATGCAAACAATTGGTCCAGTCAAATGAGCATGCCAACTCCATGGAATCAAAATCATGAATCTGTATTAGCTAGTCAGAGTCAACAACTACAAAGTTCCAGTGTCAATAATGATTTTAATTCTTGGCCTCAAACAGCAAATACAGATCTTTTGCAACAATGGAAACATACGAGTGAATTGCATACTAATCAGTGGTTACAAGAGCAACAGGAAAACAATAACTTACCGGAAGAAAGTATTAAACCAGATAATGCTGGTGTTATTCCTTCGAATGATTGGCAACAAAATCGTATAGTATCTTCTCATCATTCTCTGCCTAACATGCCTCCACCTCTGGAGTCCGGTGTAGAACCAGAAGAGAGGAAAAAATCTATACCCTCGTCGATTCCAAATTCTATGATCTCTAAAGATTCTACTATACACGCGAAAGCAAACGTCCCCAAATCCCAACTACCTGACTCGCGACTCAACATGTCATCTACTCCAGAAACTACATCTACCGTTGCAAGCTCTGAAAACGTTTCTGTACAGGAAAACAATGAATTCAATCCAGTAGGTGATATGATAGAATGGGGCAAAACTAATTCATCGGAGGAATTACCTGCAAAACTAGAACAGTTGAGTCTTAGTTCCAAGATCAGTAAACAGGTGGAACATCAAAGCGAGACCCCAGAAGCACAAATCCCTGCAACCTCTGCAGACGTATGGAGTCAGAATGCAGCTCCTCATAATGTTAACTCTGACCATATACCCGGACTATCTTCGGATTACCCCATGCCTGCAACGGAACATCCTCATTCCATCGACAACCAACCTAGCACTAATAAAGATCATCCTGCGCACAACACGTATCAGGCATTAAGTATTGCGCCAATAGATAACGTGGTGCAAAGTGGATACGATCAGTGGTACAATCAAAGCGCATTGCCGCGTTCCTCGGACAATACATGGTACACGAAGGATCATATCAGGCCAGCCAAGGATTGGAACGTCGAACAGAACGTTGAGAATTATGAAAACATCCAACAGCCTACAGAATTTGGGAATTTGGAGGTAGTTACACCGTCGTTGCAGCAACGCGATATATATGGCTCAAGAGATTCCATAAACAAGGAAACACTGGACAACGATCCAAAACCGGTTATCAATCCTGTCAAGGAAACTGTTAATACACGTGATTTTCGACAAGAAGTGAACAACATAGAAGTACCCACTGTCCAACAGCCGTCACGATCCTTGCCACCTCTTCAACCGGAACAGGTATGTCATCATTATACAAAAATGCGAATCAACTTTATTTTATCGTACTCGGTAATTAAGTAAAGATTGTCCCACAGGTACCGGACAACTACGAATTCGCATCGAACGACAGAAACACGTTTTTAGAAACCGGCGAATTAACCGATTCCCATCAAGAGCACGAACCGACTCCACCAAGCCAGGACGACGAGAACGATGAAGTGCCTAACGATATTCCCTTTCTACGAGAAGTGCCGGGCCAGTCGAGTTCCATAGATCCACGCAGAAACGATCCAACAGGGCAGGAACAGTACGTTCAGTCCGCTCAAAGGTTGTCGGATCCAAGGAGAAACGATCCCTCCGGTCAGGAGCAGAGTCTTCAGCTGAGGAACATCACTGAAAGATCCGAGCGACGCGACATCCCTCCTGGCCAAGAGAGGAGTGTCTCTCTGCTTTCGCGGTCAGACTCGGATACACTGGAACGTAGAAACGATCCGTCTGGCAGAGAACGATCGTTACCTCCCCAGCAGTCTCGGAATGATCCCTCCGGGGAAGAAAGACATCAGTCGCAACCTCCAATTATGTTGGAGTCCAGCGAGACACGGGAGGTTCCTGGTAGAGGCAATGAACCTGAAGATCCTAATCAACAGACGGATGAGAACCTCAGGCAAATACCTGGGGGTGCATCTCCCAACGAAGTTGTCCAGTCCTCGGACGACAGGCCCAATGGAAGAGTAGTCACAGGTTCTCAAGAAGTCCCTTCTGCAGTCTGTAAGATGAACTTCCCTATACCTTGAGTCTCTTATTGGTAATTTAACCCTTTGTGGACGTCGACATTTTGAGATCAGATGTTCATGTTTGCAACGCTAAGTCGCAAGCAAACGATTTAATTGATAAAACAGCAGGAGATCAGTACGTAGTTTCCCTTTTCCAGTTATCTAAGCAACCGATATACAATTTAGCTTCATCTGGTTCTCTATATTTCAAAAAATCTCCGACCGCAAAGAGTTAATTGTGTCGCCTGTTACCAACGTGTCCTATTATTCCAGCCGCTATACCGGATCCAGCCAGCGACTCGAGGAGCAAGCGCGAGGAGGCTGTCGGCGCGTCGATACGCGAAGGACAGGGCGCTTCCAGTTCGTCGAACCGAAGAGACTCGTACGACGACGAGAACGACGAAGGATCCGGAAACAGTCGGGACGACAGCAGGGAAAGACGGCGCGACAGCAGCTCGGAACGACGACGATACGAATACGAACGGAAGAACTCCTACTACGATCGTGAACGGGAGTACGACGACGATTACTATTACGATCGTCGTCGCGGGGCGGACAGCGACCGACCGTATAACGCCCGAGATGAATTCGATCGCCGGGATATACCGTACAGAGAGGATGACCGGAAGCATCATAGCCGGGATGATTTGGACAGGCACACCAGAGAAGACATGGAGAGAAGGAGCAAAACTAAAGACGACTTGGATGAGAGGGACAGCAGAAGACGGCCCGACGATCGCAGAAGGGACAGGGGCGACGATGTACGTCGGAGAGACAGGGAGATTCGAGATTATGATCCTCGGTACTCTAGAGATCGAGACTACCTCGATCGCGACAGAAGGAGAGACGAAAGACGGCCGAGGAGATACGACGATTACAACATGAGAGATTTGTACTACGATGATCCTTATAGCAGAGGGTACGTTCGAATGTGTGCTCACCCTTTGCCCTGTAATTCGTTTCTTAACCAGTTAACTGTGTTTGAGTATACACGTCATATTGAAACTCAAAAAAATAATAAACTTACTAATAATAACTGGTTAAGTATCAATACAACTACTGTAGCGTTAATAATCGAGTAGAAAAGGAAGTTTTGATCGTTATTCTCTATCTACATTTAGTCCAAAGGTTAACGATTGACAATAGAAAAGTATTTATGTTAAAAAAATAAGTAACTTAGATTTGTCAGATTCAGTTGAAAACTGTCACGAGTCTGACACGATATTATAGGTCAAGGGGTTAACAGTGTAGAGAGAAAGTGTCTCAATACTTTGTAAATCTGTTTCTCAGTTCTAGACCATCTAGCAGATCTTCCTACAACGACAGAGACCGAGCCTACTACGTGCGATCGAGGGACCCTTATTATGGTTATAATGGTACGTACCATTTTTTGTACCTTTCATTATATTTCTCTGAGAAATTAAATGTTCAAAGTACATGTGTTTCCATAGGTTACCCTGGCTACGATTACGGCGTTCATTATGCCAACAATTATTACGCGTACATAGAGAATTTGCGACGTACAAATCCTGCTGCCTACTCGGAGTGGTATCACAAGTACTATGCCAACCAACATCAGCAGCAGCATGTCGCCCATGGTGTCACTAATTACCCGGAAGACAGGGCTAGCGTTCATTCAGGCCGTAGCTCGTGCGACGATAGGTGAGCATCGCGAACCGCAAAGAACCGAGCGCACCCGATTTCTCAGATACCACTTTTGTACGGATGTTATAATATCGATTATGTGTTAGATTTTTTACGAATCCAAGTGCATGCTTCCATTCGCCAAACAAAGCATTATATGTCTCGTATTTCGGGTGTCCCGGATGGGCCAGGAGTCCACAGCGGAGACCGTGTTATCTAAATTTGAATAGGTGAGACCGAGGGAATCCTCTCGGTTGGACACTTGCAACAGATACTGAAAACTGTCGCATTCGCTATCTATCAAAAGTAATTTAGTTGAAACATATCCGTTGCGTGTAGAGTATCTTCTCTTGTGCTAGATACCGTTGCTTTATTTATGTAGATATTAGCAAAGCTCTGTTCATCTTTTGTAGATAATGGAAAACATTGTATAGTGATTAGTATTTCATCATCAGTATAGTATTCCATTAGATACCATCAGTAAATAGATGTTTATGCAGCTTATTCTTCTGTTAGCTTTTAATGTTTATTAACTGTTATTTATACGAGAATTCTATATTTTTCAGAACAACTGGCGAGAAACGAACTTTAGGCGACATGTCTTTGCTCGAGGACTCGACCAGTGCTTCCGCAAGAATGACACCGATCAAATATTCCATTTCCCATGCATATGGTGCAGTATTAAGTTATTTAAAATATACGTTTAGGACGCACAATGTAGCAGTTGATAAAAATGTCATGTCCTTAGGTTGTTTTTCGATCGGATCCTTGATTCATGTGCTTCCGTCTTATCCGACTGATGGTGAAAGAGCCAAGGTGGACATTCTTAGATTGGACAACCTGCTCTTACATGATCCCGTCACGCGTGATTTACGAGCGTATCCTGGGCCATTAATTAAGCAAGTGTAATCGATACATTCATGTGTCTAAGCATGCCTATTTCTAGTAGCTCGGTTACTTATCATTTTGCTTGTTACAGTTATTTGTAGCACCTTAGAATATGCCTGCTTAGACACAACATATTTAATTATTCTCCTTATACGACGTTTGTTCTCTACAGGGGAGTCACTCACAAAAAGACCATTATCGAATATTGCGAGAACAAAATCAAAAAAGCTGCATCGAACGAAGAGATGACCGATCGTGCTTCGTACATCCTTTTGTACGAACTAATGATCATGCTTATTCAACAGAATGGGGTAGGACATATTTCTTATGTCTCTAACGTCAACCATGTTCACTCCTAATTGCACGTGTCATTGCAGAACGTCGTTGGTGTCGATATTGCTGCCTTATTGCTCAGAAACAAGGAAGCGTATCCTTACGATTTAAACAAGCAAAAGTCGCAGGATGCAGGAAGGAGAGAGTCGGTGATATCGCAAAGATCTGGGTTAGGTGGGGACGGATGCCAGGGTACTCAAGATGGTGCATCCGTTTCAGAAAAAATAGAAAGCAAACCGCGCAAGAGTATCGAGCAAATAACAGACGAATTTAGGAACACGTTACTGTATGGTTTAGTCCAGGAAGCCTTAGGTATGTTCCTACTTCAATATTTTATTTCAAGAATCATTAACCAGTTAAGCGTGGAATTTAGTTTGAAAAATCAAATAATGAAGTGTATTTCCTCCCTAAATGCAGGAAAAATGCACTTAAAACACATCCTAACAAAAAACTAAAAAAAAGAACTACATGTTTGTCTCAAAAAATAAACAATCCATCGTTGAAAAAGTTAGCACCATTAACACTAGGTTCACGGGCATTTATTGTACAGTTTATTCTATTGTTCCTGGGGAAGTTGATATTCCTTCATTTAGATTGTGGAAACTTTTTCAACGATGGATTGTTTATTTTTTGAGCTTAACGTGTTAAGATAACTTTCATCGCGTATGCTTATTAAATAATGTATCCCACAGAATACGCGATGAACGAAGGACTCTGGGGCCACGCGCTGTTCCTGGCCAGCAAACTGGACAAGCGCACCCACGCCTCCGTGATGACTCGTTTCGCCAATAGTTTACCGTACCACGATCCTTTGCAAACCTTGTACCAACTGCACTCCGGTCGCGTGCCCGCCGTCGTCACCAGTATCTCGGATCCACGGTGGGACGACTGGAGACCCCATTTAGCCATGATCATATCGAACACGTCCTCCAATCCCGAAATCAACCGTCGTTCGATCACAACCCTCGGAGACACGCTCTCCGCGCGCGGCGACATCCACGCGGCCCACTTCTGCTACATCCTCTCGCAAGTCGACTTCGGAGCTTACGGGTCCAGCAACGTGAAGCTCGTACTGATCGGCGCGAATCACCATAAACCGTACAACACGTTCCTCACGTCGGAAGCCGTGATGCTCACGGAGATATACGAGTACGCGAGGAACCTCAGCGAGCCGGGATTCACCTTGGTGGACCTTCAGACCTTCAAGTTCGACCTGGCGTCGAAGATGATGGACCACGGATTGATAGAGAAAGCCTTATTGTACATAGAACAGATCGCCGTAAATATCGCCAACGAGCCGTCGAAGTACAAGAAGTCGTTCATCTGCGCCGTGTACAATTTGGGAGACAGGATTAAATTCCACGATCCAGTGTACAAGGACTCCACCGACGAAACCATTACTTTGCCTTGGTTCGATAATTTGGCTGAGATTGTCAGCAAATGTTACGTAAGTTTCATTTTCGTTCATCGCTTTATGGAGATAATATTAATGATAACAGTACTAGCTTGTATTTTCTTGCAGTCTGGAGAAATAGTCGAGAGTGATGCCTATGGGTCGCAGACGAAAGTAGAACAGTATAGTGCCACGCAGAATCAAGAAATCTATGAAACAAAGCATCAACAACAGCAGCAGCAACAACAGCAACAGCAGCAGCAGCAGCAGCAGCAGCAACACTGGAATCCTCCACAACCGGAATACAGAGAAGGTCCATCGTCGATGATGGAGGTCCCTTCAACCGAAGTGCAATCAGAATGGCAGCCCTTATCTCTGCCATCCAACATACCGGACACGTTCGACCAAACGATGCAATACACAAGGAACACCGAGGAATCGTACCAGCAATCCCAGCAGCCAGATTACTGGAACCAAGACTCCTACTACCAGAGCAACTACGGGAGGAACGACTGCACTGTCACCAACTGGCAGCAGCAGTCAACCAGCGTCCCATACTCCTCAGAACAAGGTGACACCGACAGTTCACAGCAACAGGAGAAATGGAACTATGAGGTAAGTGTCGTTCCAGGTCAAGCGTCCTGAACTTTCGCATTCGAATATACAAGGCTACCAAGTAAACATCTCTATTAAGCTTCCAACGTTCTGCATCGCACTTCCGTCGCATACATACCCCGCCGTAGAACTGTGTCAAAGTAGATTACCCAACGAACCGTACACGGCGCTCGCTGGAAATAACGCATTTTTTTCACGTTTTTCTTGATGCTTGCATACGGACAGACGGAAAGAGAGGATAAAACGGCCACTCCTGAAGTAAGTAATCACGCGGCCACTGCGGCTAGTAGTATCGAACCCGAATGGTCGCCGAACGACGGCGACGTTAGCTCGTTACGGCGGCGCAAAGTCTTGACCGGTCCGCTAACCGAGCCACGAGTCGCTTCTCATTCTTCCGGGTCGGACGTCGGTGGCTCGACCGGCTCGTCGTCGTTGTCGAACCCCTATCGGTCGGGCGTCTTGGACGAGGCGTCCACGAGATCCCAGAAACTGATCACGTACCCGAAGGTCACGGCGGCCTATCCGAAACTCTTGCCGGCCGACAAGCTCTCGCCGAGAGGCGTCAGGCGGATCAAGAAGATAGACGGCAGATACGTGAAGCCGCCCTCCTCGCAGCCCCTCGTCTTCCTGAAATGCAAGGCGAAGAGGAAGTCGGACGACGAGAACGATCCGACCTCGGACGGACCGGAGGAGAACAGTCTAAGGAGCCTGACCTCGTCGACCACCACCGATTTGGACGTGCAGTTCAGCGAGGTCGGATTGGACTCGCTGTCCAAGTTCGACCCGCGCGCGCCGAGAGGATCGCCCCGGCCGGCCGAGACCGACAGTCAGACGCTGAAGCAGTACTGCAACTTCGAGGACAAAAAGGTCATGAGAGTAGCACCCCACATCCGCCGGAAAGACGTGATTTGCGACACGGTGGACGCGTGGTCCTATTCGAACGCCTCGCAGAGCTCTTCCGAGTTGTGTCGGTATAAGCCGCTCGTCTTCGGCGGAACCTATCCGATCGATTTGCCGGTTAGGCCCGTTAGAAGTGATCTGAATCTGGCCGAGTTCAACGACGCCCCCGTCGAGAAGTCCACCATGAAAACGTACGACATCGACGTCCCCACGAATTGCGAGTAGATGACGAGTGCGCTCGTTAGCAAGTAACCATTGTTCATCGTTCCTCCTTCTCTCCTTCGCGTTCGCCGCGTTACTGCGAACTTGCGATTAAGCCACCGCCGCGAGATCGGTGTCCCCGCGTTGAAGAGAAGATTCATATGCTTTTATGTTAGAGAGTATGAGTTGTTAAGAAGACCTTTGATACAGAGTTAACCCTTTGCACTCGAAAGTTCTTCGCTTGAAGTACTCTGTACTTAATTAGATGTAGATTCTTTGAGATGAATTTAACCCTCTGTAAGCTCTGTAACTTTGAAGTCACGCATCGGTAGGCTGGGTTAAATTGACTTAATTTTTTAGTGCAAAATGACGAATGACGTTAAATGATTAGTCAACTTAAACTTCAAAGTTACAAGATATATTCGTTTTAACAAAACTATTGGAACTATTGAATACATTTTTAATTTCTGTGCATATGCTGATATTTCGTGCTGCGTGAATTTTGTTATAATAAACAAAATTCGGCTCATAGAGGGTTAACAAGAAATACATAAATTAAGTACCAAGCTATTTTGAGAAAATAAATAAACAAGAAATCGTACATAAATTAGATATCAAAGGTTAATGATAAATACCAAAGTTTATAATTTTCCTGTATCAGATCATCGACTGGGAGTCGCCTCTCGAGTGCAAAGGGTTGATCGAGCTCTGTCTAGCCGCCACTTTATGTATACAAGTTTATTGTTGTTGAATGTACAATAAAGTTTCCTATATTACCGAACTCTCCTTGGACTTTTCAAGACATCGCCTGCTCTCGTTACACCGCGTTTACCGTAAAATAGAATTCTCTTAAGCGAGCAAAGTTTTTCACTGCTTACTGTGACGGTGACTAGAACAGGTTCTAAGGTAAGACGATTCGCAAGGATGTTTCACCGGAACTAATCGGATTAAACGTACACGTGCGCTGTCACAGTGGATAGTGATTAACTTTGCTGGGACAATTTTGCGATGATCAATCGTATACTTCATTTCAGCCGCCGCAGCCGGCAATCTCGATGACGCCGTCGACGAGGAAGCAGTACGACCCGCTGGAGGAGCTGGACGCGCTGGAGACGCCGAAGCCGTCCTCCAAGCAAACGGCGACGGCCAAGAAAACCGCGGAGAAACCGACGGAGAAGAAACCATCGAACAGTTCGTGGATCGGAGGTCTGTTCAGCAAGTTCGCTCCGAAGCCCAGGAACCAAATGATTCTGCCCGACGACAGTAATCCAACGGTAAGAATGTCAACGACGTGCCAGGCAGTTTAGATCTAGTTCTTAGATCACTGAACAATCACAGCTTTCTGTTCTATGTCCCTAAGGGCTCACGCGGGTACTTATGGTAATTGAATGTCTTGTAATGGCGGCAGCGGAGAAGGCCAGTATATACCTCAATGTTCGGATAGTCGATTAACAGCTAACGAATTGTTGATATATTCTGGCTTCGCGTTTCATGTGTCGTTCCTAACACTTAGAATGCAACTCTGTTTGAGCCCTGTAGTCGATGCAGTGTCGCTTTGTGTTCCCATGTGCACGTGGAACTTTGTCTCAAGTTGTGTCCTGTGTGCTGATAGATTGTGTGGGATCCTGTTGCTAAAAAGTGGACGAACAAGGATGAAGATGGAGACAGTGGTTCTGCAACGTTAGCCCCTCCTCCGAAAGCTTCTGACATGGGGTTCAAGGCACCCGCTGCGGAGCATTCCTCCCAACTGTCTCAGCCACCCCCTCAAGCTGACGAGTCCGCCATTAATAAGTTTAAATTGCCGAAAGGGAGAAACATGCGAGCTAATTATATAGATGTGATGAATCCGGCTGGCTCGAAGGGCAGCGCAGCACCCTCGAATATACCAACCCCGATCACATCTCCAATGGTACCTATGGCAACTTCCTCGCCTCAATTATTCATTCCTGCACCAGGTAGTTTTCCAGAATGTTCGAATATTCAGTTGTTGAAACAACTGTTAGTCTGTTGTAACTAATTCTTTAAATGAAATCACAGTTAACGACCGGAATGGACCTGTGGCTTTCTTGCCAACCGCAGACGTTGCACTTTCCACAAACGTCTCCGAGAACGCGTCTCAAGGGGTAAGTTCTCTGATATGATTACCTTTGTATTTATGTGCTCAATCTTGTCACTACTTGCGTACAGTGACTCACGTATTCGTCCATATACTCACAGAATGATAGTACTATTGGTTCTTCAAGTAATCTAGCGAAGTAGTACCTTTTTTTAGAATAAGTTTGTGAGTCACTCTACATTTACATCTGTATACAACATTAACAATACAGTTTCACATATGCGTCTACAGTTTTGGACTAATTCTACACAGCCCCTATATATATTGTCTTTAAGTTATGGCTGCAGTATGTGCCTCTACAGTTCCCGACTAATTGTACACAACCCCCTTTGTTATCTTTAAGTTGTGGCTGCAGTATGCTGGTATGCAGCTTCGTTGTACCTGCCTCTGGAACTGTAATGTTAAGATGTCACTTTCAGATCAGTTTCTCTTTAGTACCACGGTCGTAATGTTCACGTGTACATGCCACAAGTTTCCCCTAGTTTTGTGCATTGTCTACTCCTTCAACAGTGTATAGAGTAATTGCTTTCTTACGTTAACCTTCAGTTGTGTCTGTACAATTTATTCGTATAGAAGTTGTACGTTCTCTTGGTCGTCTAGATTGTGTAACAGAAAGAGAGAGAAAGAAATTCGAGTGTGTAGGGTTTTCTTTCTTTCAAAGATATCCAGTGTTAAACAAAGACAAAGTGTGTACCTGATCTCGTTCCTGTTTCTTTGAAAACCGCGTGCTTCCTGTGTCATTTTAACGGTCACTATACTAATTAGACTCTCTAAGATTGTAATAGATATTCTTTTCTTGGCAATCTGTGTTTAATCTACCTTTCTTTTTATGTTTTCTTTGCAAGCAGTCGGGGAGGCAGAATGATGTAGCCAAATAATAATTATTGCAGATAGTAAGGACTATTTTATTAATTTTATACATTGATCTCTTTATTGTGTACGCATGGTATGACCACATTTATCCAGTAGCATGGTTCAGAGTGTACGTAACATAATGCAGATGCAATATCGCAAGCTTTAGTTCTTTGCTAGATCACCTGGACAACCTCAGCAAATTGGTGTTAGAGCTGTAATGACTATGGTGAAATGATAAGACAGTAAGCAATGGACACATAGAAAGCTGCTTTTCAACGTATCTTTACATTCTTCCTTTCGACATTAACTTTTGTGTGATCTTGTTAACACCATTTCAGAGCTTCGCATTGCTTTAGACACAGTTCTGCATGTAGATAATCTTTTTGCCAGTAAAGGAGAAGGTGTTTTAGGTTAACAGTGTAGTAGTTGGTAAATGTTACGCGCTAGTGTGTTTCTGCTATGACTTTGAACATGATTAATTATTAGAATTAAGGTACACTTATTATAAAAATACTGCATTTTTTATATGGTGATGTAGGAGACTCGCAATACCGATGATTCCAGTCTCTAATGAAGTTGTAATGAAAAAAAGTTATTGTATCTATTGTAAACAGTCAATGTATCTTCACCTTTATGAACATCGGTGTTGCATACTCGTACACTTTGATGCCTAATCATTGCAAACAGGGCAAGTATTGGTTAGTGAGACAAAATTGTTGTGTTATATATGGCACACAGCTCTCTCGATGGAGCTCAACCAGCTCGTTATCGCGAGAGGTGCAGAGCTACACGATGAGGGATCCGCGTCTCCTCCCAAGGAACAAGGTAATCCAGCATCATTTCTCATTCCAGAAGTGATCATTCGTACGTTCTACTGAGCAACACATGGTAGACAAATCAAATTCTAACTTACTTATATTACACTATCTTTCAATTCAATTTATCACTATAGCTTTAAATTAAAGAGTGTATTTTAATTGGCACATTCTTCTAGGTAAAGAGGCTCCCAAAGTGTAAGAAGATCAATACTTATCACAAAAATCATTCTATCATGGAAAATTCACTTCTCAGTGATCCTTCCCTTTTGTGCAATTCTCTGCCACTTGAAAAATACCAGCTCATATTCTTCATAGATTTCACACAAGTCCTTTTATCTTTGATTTATAACCACCATGCAGCTTTACCGCTAAATCAAGCTTATATCATGTCAGCACGTTAATCTTATAAGATTCAAATGGCAAAACTATGGGAAAGCTTGGTGAAGGATATATTTTTGGTTGCGGCAGTGTACATTCACATGTTCTTATCAATTTCAATCAGTATTCGTGCCTATGTTGCACTTGATTATTCAATTATATTCGAAAACATAAAGAAAAAGAGAACAAATCATTAACTTTACCTTTGTCTTAATCTTATTTTACAACAACTTGTATGGAAACGGTAAAATCGAACAATTCTGCTGAATTAAGAATATCTATGTACATAATCTTGATTTAATGTTCCTCCTGATTCATCTCTAATACGAATCATTGTTTTTAGGGACCAACGATGTACAACCCGAGTGATATGAAGGATCATTCAGCGAAAACTATGCAGCAGAGTCGGTACCCTCCGCGGTAGAACTCGGGAGACGTTCCTTGACCAGTTCGCTGATCAGAACGAGCGATTCTTTTCTCGCTCTAGGATGATTTTACTTTACGCGAATGAAATCAAAGTTTTTGTAAAGCACACACACACACAAACACACCGGCAAAGATACCTCAGAAATAAGTAAGTGAACGACACTGAACGCGCTATCCGTTTTATTCGAGTACACGCAAAGTTTCCACTTTCAATTTCACTTGGATCCACGCTAGTTTATTTCTGAATGAAACCAACAGCTTACTGTTCAGGTAAACTGTTGCTTTCACTTAATACAGTGAGCTTGGAAAACATTACAGTATCCGAGTAAAGAGATCCTTTAGCAAGAGATACAATTGTTTGAACGACCCAGATTGTCCATAGTTGATTTCATTGATAACACACAGGGTACTCTTTTATATGCTTCATTTTCCAATGGAATGTTTTCGTGGGGCTCTACGAGAGAGAACACGAGAATAGTAAAAACTAGATATTTTTCTTACTCCAAAGCCCTTGCGTTTCAACTCGTTCGACGTGTGTTGAGCGAACGGGTTGGACACTGTTAAAACTGTTTCAGTGTGTTTCAAGTTTATACCGTTCTCTAGTATCACAATGGCAGAATTCCAGTAGCGAAAGGAAAAGTAGATGATCGGTGTCGGAACGATGATAACGTACGAGAAATGTTAATTTTACGGTCGAGAGTGTTAAGTTGTAAACGAATGATGATGATGATTATGATGATGATTATGATGATGATGATGATGATGATGATGATGATGATGATGATGATGATTGCGGGACTAAACTATAGCTGAAATAATGTTAATCGTGTCGTATGCGTCTCGATAATTTGTTACACGTCTAGGGACACGATGCGATATGGAAGTCTGATTTTATACGCTGGATGGAGAGCAATTATTGCAATTATATAAAGCGAAGCGAAATATCGATAATGTAAGAAATGTTAGGTATATGACAAATTTTATGGATCCCAATTGTTAGGTGATGTGCAATGCAGCTACTGTTATCTGCCGTCGAGCTATTGTATCATTACACCGAGGTTTTATCGATAAGAAGCATGACTGCCATGTATCTAATGCAGATTCGAAGGGGGGAACCGACGAGATGCTTGACGCCTTGTTTTTCTTCCTGTTTGCAACACAACCGAGCTCTCAAATTTCCGTAATCCTACTTGTAGTCCTTTTCCTAGCGCTTTAGGTAGAGAACCATAGGGAGAAGTAACGACTATCCTTACGCATTTTTTCTCTTTTTTTTAATCAAGGAAATTTAATGTACACGATTGTTCTCTTCTGTCCGATTGTTTATTTATACGAATTAAAAGGTGCACAGTTCATGGTGCTCTTACAGCATTCGAGTATTTCATTAGGAATCAGTTACGCCATAAAGCGCTTGATCCGTCGACTGGTCAAAGTGATTTCTTTTTCTTTTTTCAAGTAGATTTTTGAGGGACATTATTCGATGATTGCTTTATATTCCATACATGTTATTTAGTTGATACTAACTGACGAGGAGGTTCAGTTTCAACTGGAAATCTTGGGAACTTTATGAGGGATAGAGATTTACGATGCGATGTACAAAACATGTAGGATAAGCCTTTAGATCGGTTTCTCGTAGTAACACGTCCAGCGTTTTGTGATACGAACAACGATCGAGTGCAAAACGACACGTTGTAGAGATGATATCGAGCGTACCGGAAACAGTTCAGGTATCCGTCGACTTAACACGTTAAGCGCCGTGTCGGTCACTGGTGACTGACGCTTCTGAATGACTAAAAAACAATCGTAACACACAAGACAACCGATGTGAAATAAAAATGTTTAAGGCAACTAAGTTGATAGTGTAACACGCAAACGTTGCAAACAATTCATAATTACTCCCACTTTTCTTTACTACAAAAGACAAACTCTATGGGAAAATTTTCGTGGCGCTTGACGTGTTAAAAGAACAGGACACATCCTTGATTCCTTTTACTTTAGGAGTTTCCATGAAAAGTTTCTTAAGGGGCACAGACGGGCGGGAAGGTCGATGAATTCCATTTACATTTTAATTAGTAGATTCTTTTCCTCGCCATTGATCACAATTGGAGTGACGCTGGTTTTGTCAATTCTCGCGGAATAGACGGTAGACTATTTTTCGGTTTTATACTGGTGACAACGCAGACTATGCTTTCAAGACGTATACGTTGCGCAGAAATTGTAGCATATTATAATGTGCACGCGTTCCTTAGTGTACGTTACATGTATATACGTATATATAGATATATAATTAAAATTTATGATTTGTACATATTATGTAAACGTAAGTCCTCTCGGGAAACAGGAAATTCGCATGTTGCCGCGGCCGCGGTCAAATAGTAATCAACAATCAACGAGAATGTTATTTTCTAAAGGTGTACATTCAAAATCAGAATAATTCTTTTTGTGAAAAATGGCATTTTGTTGCGACTAACATCCGTTTTGATTACGTTATTCCTTTCTTTAATCGGCGAGACAACAATAATATCTGTGGAGCAAAGTTTCGATGAAAAGATAAGGGTCACGTGATAGACAGTAATCTTGTGATCGTTATTTTCGGGATGCAATTCGATTCGATTGATCTAAAAAGTTCCCAAAGTGATATATAGCGGTATAAGAAAATATTCGTACACCGTTGACCTTTACTGTTTCGATGTCTTTGATAAACTTTTGTATTAAATATTTCTTAGAGGCTGAATCGTCAGCGTTCTATAACGGTGTTTAAACGTCGACAGGGATTCTTATTTAATTTATTTCATTGAGAATAAAATTGTTAGCTAACGGTAAACGTCAGAGGTGTATGTATACATTTAATTTTGCCACTGTATATACTTGCAACGAGTCAGCGAATGGCAGGAAGGGACTATAAATAATACACGTTAAAGATTAAACAAAAGTATTAATTGAGCTGTACGTTATGTATGTATATGATGGTTTATGAGTGATTCGTTTCGGGCTTAATGTAACATATTATGGTATATATATATATAATATCTTTAATGCACTTTGCGGTTCAAACGTTCGATGTATGTTTATGGGAAAATATGGATAATAAGAAATGTATAATGCATATTATTAATATTACCACTATCCCATTATTATTGCTATTATAATAAAGAGTCATACAACTTATCTTAGAGTACCGTTCTTTTTCATTTTGGAACGATTGCAACAATTATAAGGAGAATATTTTATTTGAAATATCGTTTCTTGTCGAGTTGAATATCATTTGTTTATAGAAATAATGATAAATAAATTGGGAATGAGAAACCATTGGTTTCCCCGTCTATTCCAAGCTACTCAAACTTCTAGCCAAATAGTCTCAGATTATTTCTACTAGGTGGCACTAGTATTTAATAAAATTTAATCGATATCGAAATTAACTCCATAAATAAATGATATTCAGATCGACAGGAAACGATATCGATTAAATGATATTAAATACTAGTGCCACCTAGTGGAAATAATCTGATACTATTTGGTTAGAAGTTTGAGTAATCTTGGAATAGATGGAGCCACCAATCATAGATAATGATGATAAATAAATGAAAATGAGAAATCATTGGTATCCCCCATCTAGTGGAGACAATCTGGTACTATTTAACTAGAAGTTTGAGCAGTCTCGGGATAGATGGCGCCACCAATCCTAGATATAATACAGGTACTTTTAAAAATAATTTTTTTATTATCTTAACGACTTAATAGATTAGACTCAACTATTCTGTTATTAATGAAACATATATTAATTGTTTGACGATTGAAATATTTAGATTTATTATATAAAGAAAACATTGAATTTTGATGATTTTAGAAAGGGAAACAAAGTCGTAATTAACATTCTTACTGTACCTGCTTAGTGCCCCAAGACTGAGAATATAATAAATGAAGTCTTATACAAATATATATACTTTATAACAATCCTGAGATTGTGCCAAAGTTGTCAAAAATTCCTACCAGATCAGAAACTGCATCTTGTGCCTAAAACAAGAAAATCATAAATTTGTCAGAGAATGCAATTATAGCAAAGTGAAAATGGTAACCCCTATAAGCACGTGACCCGCTCGACACGAAGTTGTATCGGTTGCAGCTGTTCCGGTGCACGTCAGTAGTACAATCCTTCTAGAACCGCATGATTATAGAGTTAGCGAGCCATATTGGCTTGCATCACTGCTATTAACATGGAAATGGGAATCCGTGATTTGATTACTCCCTCCAGCATGAACTTATTACGCACGTGCTGGTACAAGCTTCTACGGAGACTGCCAATGGAAAATGCGTCAGATTATTTATTTAACGGAACACAATTTATAGATTACATCCCCGCAGACGTGTTACGTATAAACAACCGGATCGACAATAAACCATGACCGAGATAAGTGGAGTAATTTACGTTAAGTCGAAACGTGACCTGCCTGAAATTGTTCGAATGCTTAGACGAGCGTGTATATGTACACAGTTTATAAATAAATGCGATTACATTGTCAGCGTCGAGGTTTCAGGACAACGGAATCTCATTAACCAATCGTCAAATCGGATTAGGACTGGTTGCTGGTGTCTCGAGGATGGTGAACCGTCTGTCGTGCAACGGTAGTCGGCGTTTTCCACTTGCCGAGGGATTTCGCGGTTGCGCAACGAAAACCATTTAAATGGCAATATTTTTATTGTCAGGTGCGAGAGGCTTCCGTTGGCACTTGCCAACCGAGGACGAGGGATTACCAGGGTTGATCCGGGTGTCAGAAGGCGTAACGCGAGATTCTCGTTGGGGAGAAATTACGAATTTATTTGTACAAAAAAAAGGTTGTTCAACGGAACAAAAGATAGTACTCGCAGTCCTCGACAGTGTGATGCAGCGAATTCGATTGAAGTGTGTATTCCACAATACAGAGCGTTACTCGTAACATGAAATATAAAATTCTCATCATCATCAACTATTATATATAGTTAACTTCTTTTTTCTTCTTCTTCTTCGAACATGGTCAACATATAAATATACAGTCATCACGTTAATTTAAATGTATATCGATACAAGTACATATACAGCGAATCTATACACGGTATAAGTAAAAGATTCCTACATACACGCATCCGATGTCTGATTTTTTCAT